AATACAGTACAATATTTGAGATAGCAGCACTGAATATATTTAAAAAATAAGTGCGCAGGAGATTAAAACGAGCATTGCTTGGATGAATGGTTCTTTTTACAAATTTATTTCACCTGTATTACAAATATTTATTCACACGTTCAATTATTGGAATAAATGAACATACGGCCTTAAATTTTTGTGTGACCAGAATGTGAAATAAATATTTTTGGATTGCCGCCATGATTTGTTTTCTACATGGTGTGACATATCAAATAAGAGATGCAGAATTGCAAAAATAGACTTTTTAAGTACACCTAGTATACTTGCTTGCTTTGAGTTAGAGTCAGAAGAATATGTCTGTGATCTTTTAGAGGCCTTTAAAACACTTACAGCCTGTAAAAAGAAGTGTTTGTAATGTGCGTGGCTTTGCTCTGAGGGTTTTTGAGTTTCTATTTTAAAGCCTGCTCTTTTTTGCACTTTACTGTCAGTCTCTGTTGATAACATTTCTAAGGATATGGATACATTCATATTAATGTCAAGCAAGTTTGAAATAGATTTCGGCAAAGACTGCCTAAACCTTGCACTATGATTAAATTGTTTCAGGGTGTGGAACTGCTGCCTCTCCAGAAACACGTTGAAAGCAAAATTATGAACTGTGGTAGACCAAATATGACTCAGTCATGCCAGGGCTGCTCAGAACACCTACTGCATTTGAAGCACTAAATTAGCATTGCATTTGCCTTCCACCAATTTCTAATTAACAGACCATTTACACTTAGACAAGAATTGAAAGACAAGTAAAAATTTTTTGCAGTTTTAAAATACAAGTACTCAGTTCAAAAAATTGCCCCCAAGTTTAGGAACGAGCCCTGGCCTTGTAAAGTTATACCTGAGTATTAGAAAGTATTTGGTGGAGTAGTGAGATATTTTTTCAATCAAATAAATGGGATTATTTCATGTAAGTAAACCATATATCTGAGAAACATACATACTTTTATAATGTATTCCTTTAGCCTATAATTATTATTTTATAATGTCATGAAATAAAATTTACTCTATTGAAAATTTTCTCATTATGGATGGATAAGAAAGAAGACAGAAACCATGCGTGCTTAATATTAGTTTCCATTTTTGTCAAGTATCTGTGAAGCATCCAAGGCTGTTCCATTAGTGTGGTTATGTGGGAAGACAAAGAAGAATTTGCTGTTGCCACGTCTCCAGGATTCTTGAATTTGGGCTTCACTAGGAGTGGGTGAGGACCTTTGTATGGTACTTCTCCAGAAGGTACCACTGACCGCAGAAACGCCCATGGGCAAGGGTACAGCTGTGTGGCTGTGTTGGTGGTGCACAGATTTGTTTCTCCATTTACGTTGTGGAGAATTTTGAATTAGCTCCTTAAAACAGCTGTTCTCTGAAAAGCTGGATATCCTCATGTCATAGATGGTTTCCCCTGAAGGACACAGGAGGGTCGTTATTACAAGTGGACTTCTAGGGATCAAAGTCAGAGGAATTGGGAGCTTCTGCACTTCTTGAAACTGTGTGCAACAGAGAGAAACTCAGGTAGTCATTAGAGGTATACTCGAGCCCCAAACATCAAGCAATGTTTATACATGAGGGTCAGCTTGAGGAGTATTTTAGCTAACAAAGACCTTACATAGGAAGGGCTCTGTCTCATTACGTAACAGATCATCTCTGAAGGACAAAGAATGTACCAGTCTTTGCACACGAACCCCCAAGGAAAGGATAGATGTTGACCTGACAGATGAGTGATGGTTTTCATCCCACAAAAGAACTAGTAGGATGGAGCCCCAAAGTCATGGTTATGAGGTTGAACCACATGAGGATTTCAATGTCATTCCATTCACAGAATTTAACTGGAGGATATAATCTTAAGAGCTACATTTATAAATTATAACACAAGTATTCCCAAGAATCTCCTTTATGACTGCAAACTTAACCAAGACTTTAAGAGTACTTAAGGAAGTTTGAGTCTTTTATTCAATGCCAGAAAGACCAGATGAAAAAGGCAGAAAAACAAAGAGAAACCAAGCCTCCTTTTATTTTCCTCTGTGTGTGTGTATTTGTGTATATATGTACACATGTATTTTTTTTGGCTTAATCGTTTGAAATTTAGCTTAGTCGTTGAAATTTAGTAGACATGATGGCATTTCTCCCGTGAATACTTCAGCAGATACCACGTAAGAACAAGGACATTCGTCTGCATAACCACAATGCAGTTATCATACCTGAGACATTTAATTTTGATACAATACCTTTATTCAGATTTCCCCAATATCCCAATAGTGTCCTTTATAACTCTTTTTTGTTTTTTTTAAAGATTGGTACCTGAGCTAACAACTGTTGCAAATCTCTTTTGTTTTTTTGCTTTTTCTCCCCAAATCCCCCCAGTACATACTTGTATATTTTTTTCAGTTGTGGCTCCTTCTAGTTGTGGCATGTGAGACACCACCTAAACGTGGCCTGATGAATGGTGCCATGTCTGCACCCATGATCCGAACTGGTGAAACCCTGGGCCACCGAAGTGGAGCACACGAACTTAACCACTCGGCCATGGGGCCAGCTCCTATAACTTTTTTTCCCCTGACATAGATCCAATCAATAGCTACACATTGCATTTATTTCTCATGTCTCTCTAATCTCCTTTAATCTAGGTCAGTTTCACAGTCTTCTTTTGTCATTCATGACATTGACATTTTTGAAGCCTAAACTAGTTGTTTTGTAGAATATCCCCCAATTTGAATTTGTCTGTTTTCTCACATTTGAAATCAAGATTCTTAATAAAGAAATAAGAAATAAATAAATGAAGCCAGGAGGGTAAGGAGAGGGAGAGGTGAAAGAAAGTGCGTGCGCACGAGAGAGAGCAAAGGGAAGAGAGAAAAGAAAGGGAAAAGAGAGGTAAGCGGATTTCATGAAAAATTGTTCATTCAAACTAAACAAAACAAAATCTGGTAGATTTGTATTCAGACTGTATTGACTATCAAATGGGTGGACTGGTGGGGGGCAAACATGGTGTTACCTGCGAGTGCAGGATATCTGAAGTGTTAGGTTTAGAACATTTTTCTTAGAGGCAAGGGAATGAACCTTGAGAGTTTTGATCGCATGCCAAGTGAAAGGTAAAATTCAGTGAAAACAAACAAAATTTCAAGCTAGTTCTTTTAGTCTGTGTGGAAAATAATGTGGTAATGTCTTTTCCTTAATACATGTAAACCAGTTTCCTGGGTGCCATTTAGCTCCAGCAAATTGTTTTCTTTAAAACCCTTCACCAGGCTTTACAAAATGGAAAATGGTCTTAAAGTGTTAATAGGAATATACAGACACTATTCCAGATAGATGAGAATTTAGGCTGTTTTTATAAACCTCCAAAACAGAGATTCATGAACCACATCTTAAAGAGAAGACTCCTATGAAAAGTGTTCAGGAACTAAACCTTATTTTCAAGCTGTCAGAAAAAAAGAACCAGACAAAATCATCGGGTAGCCAAAGCTAAGAACAGCTGAAATAAGTTTTCCAACTTGCCACTATGTCACCCCATTAAGTGCCTGCTTCTCCACCTCATCTCCCAGCCTCCAAATAAATAAAAAGCAGGACGTGTGATTGTGGGAGCAATGCTAAGAAACGACAACGTTCAAATGGTTTTTGCTATAATATATTGGAGCCTTCATATGTTCATTCCTGACATTTTTTTGATTTACGTGGTAAGGGCAGAGTTCTAGAAAAACTAACATATCCTGAGTAGGAAAGGTATAGCATTTCCTGTTCGTGTTTAACGTGGCTCTGATTGCTGTCCTTGGAGTCGTGATTGCCATACCCAGTGAATAATTGCGCACTGGCTCAGGCAGCACCGTCCCATTTGCTTGGATGTGTTTTCTGGGGCTTCCTGGGAATTCCTGAACTGGAGCAGAGATAGACTTTGTAGTTGCCTTTTCTAAGACTCAGTGGAAACTGAGTTGTTGGGATCTCAGGTTCTGTGATGTTGATTCTTAAGTGAAATTTATGTGCAGAGGAAAATCCATTCATTATGCTTTTATTTTTCTTTAAAATTGTTTTATTATGAAAAAACCAGGCGTACTATCTAGAATTGTATAACAAACTACCACGTGTACCTGTGGCCCTACTTATACAATAATCAACTTCTTAGTAAATTTGTTTCATCTTTATGCCTATCCATTCCCTACCACTACCATTTTATTTTGAAGCAGCTCCCAAGTGTTACAACATTTTATCCATAAATATTTTGGAAGAGAATGGAAACTCTTTTAAGCAGTCTTGCTTAAAATAAGAATAGGTGTTTAATGTAAAGTATTCTACAAGTTAATGCACAGTTTAGTTTCTCCCAGTCTCTGTTGAGAAGATTTAGAAGAGCTAAATCCAGTCAAATGGATAATTTGACGTGAGTGGAGTGGTCATCTGGAGTGCTCATTCATTGTTACGATTTATGAGTTCTCTTTGCACTTTGGGCCACCTGTGATGATAAGATAGTCTAACTCTGACTTTCCAGAACATTATAACCATGGACAAGTCAGTCACATGTCTCTGAAATTAAACTTCCCCATTTAAAAAATGGGTGTGATGCCTGCTCTGCCTCTTCGCAGAATTATGACGAAGATAAATTGTGATCATGCTTTAGAAATGATGGCCCAGTTACGTATTCTCCTTTAGCATAGGTTTTTGGTTCTTTGATAGGACCAATGTTCAGGATTTTTAATGGTATCAGAAAATGAAAAGATTGAAGAAGTAACTAGCTGGAATTTTTTTGAACAATAATTTTATAGTCTAAGTTCTCTTTTTTTCCGCTGAGTGTATTTTATTTGGGCATTTTATTCTTCTCCAAGTTGAGATACATTTTGGGTGACCCCTCTTTTTTTTTTCTCTCTCTCTCAGATAGTAAAGCCTTTGGGAATGGTGTCTTGATCAGGCTCACCCCAAATTAATATGTTTCTCTTTGAAAGACTACTGGGTGACCAGAACATCTTTTTTCCTTCTCTTGTCTTTTCTAGCCTTGCCTCCCCGATTGAAAGAGATGAAAAGCCAGGAGTCTGTGGCAGGCTCTAAACTAGTGCTTCGGTGTGAGACCAGCTCCGAGTACTCTTCTCTCCGATTCAAGTGGTTCAAGAATGGGAATGAGTTAAACCGAAAGAACAAACCACAAAACATCAAGATACAAAAAAAGCCAGGGTAAGTATAATGCCTATAACAGCAGAGGCAGTGTCTAGCAATAGAATGATATAAAATATAAAAGTTACTTACAGCAGAATAAATACATTTACTCTCAAAAAACGTGATTTACCATAAATGAAATGATTTTTCATTATATCATGACCAGAAATTGTGTCATTATATAGGAAAGAATTTGAAGTTTTTGATTCTTAGAACTTCTAGACCGGGAAAGAAAGGGATGGATGTGCAAAGAACCGTAGGGTGTGGGGGGAGATAGAGGAGATGAAGGAAGATGGTATTAGTGATAGTGGTTGTAATAGTAATAAGTTAGATCCTAGGATTCAATTTCTTCAAAATAAGACAAATGCTGAGTACCAGATCCTTACACAATCAAAATCCGGACTTCATTATAAAGCTTAAAGCATACGTAGATTTATGGAAAGAGTTAGAATGTATTAATCTCTTACTTGAAGGTAGTTGAATTTGAACTGTTTTCAAATAAGTAGTTAATACATAAAAATTATACCTAATAAGGGTTTTCAACTGACAATTCTATTAAACTATATCCCAACTCTGAAATGATGCTCCTTTGTTATCCCTACCCTCTTCATTGAAGAAATTTTTCTTCTAACACTGATGGCATTTTTAAATGAGGGAAGAGATAAATATTTTGGACTTTTGCTTGTAAACATTCCTTTAATCAATGTGATATATATAATAGTGGTTCCAAGCTCAAAGCTTACATTTTGTTTACTCACACTTCAGAGGATTCCAGTGGAATCCCAGGTATATGGAAGAAACAATGAAAGAATCTCCTCTTGTACTTTGATTTTATAGGACGTCTGCCAAAAAGCTGTCACACACTCATGAGCAAGAGAAAGCAAAGTGATTATAATGGAAATTTAATTTAATCTTACCAAAGTGTTTAATTGCTATGATAACTATAATTAGGGATTTTTTTCCTTGTTTCCATGGTTTTACTATCTACCCTGCTTATTCTTGTTACTGATTGTGTCAGCAAGATCTCTTAATTTGGAAGTATAAGACAGCGTGAGGGGAAGAGTGGGTCTCACTTTCTGCAGCAGGTGGTACTTCAAAGATACAAAAAATAATATTGTAAAGTGACTTGGTGTTTTTATACATAATCTTGTTTGTTTATTTTTTGCAACAATCCCATAGGTAGGAAAGACAGATGGAGTGTACATGGTGATTATCTAATTTCGCAGATTAACAGATTAAGGGTCAAAACAATGTTATACTTTGCCTGAATCACACAACTAGTAAGAAACTAAGCTGGAACACAAATCTATTTCTTGTTCCTTAATACCTCATTCCTTCTTTAAAAACGGGTAGCATAAGGGCCAGCCCTGTGGCATAGTGGTTAAGTTCAGTGTGCTCCACTTCAGCAACCTGGATTCGTGGGTTTGGATCCCGGGTGCGGTCCTATACCACTTGTCAGCCATGCAGTGGTGGTGACCCACATACAAAATAGAGAAAGATTAGCAACAGATATCAGCTCAGGGCAAATCTTCCTAAGCAAAAACAAAAAAAAAGGATAGCGTATATGTTTAATAATGTGTGTGTGTGGGTAGGGAAGGAGATAGAGTGAATTAAAAAAGTGATACGATTCTTATAGAGAAGTTTAACAAGAAAAAATACTTTTAGATATTGGATTGAATAGGTTTTGGTGTTGGTTTTGTGTTTCATCAATTAGACAAGTTAGTAAGAAACTCTGTTATCTGCACATGCAAGGTAATGTCTTGTTTATTTCTATGTCGCTGTCAAATGATATCAATAATGTTTAAGTGCCCACGAGAGACTTTCTGCTGGGAATGTGGAGAAATGGAAGAGGCATGGGATGTTATCTCAAACCCAGGGGGTCATAAGTATAGAGATTATCTGGTTCAGCCTTATATAAAACATAGGAATTCCTGCAATCATGTGCTTGAAACACTCTTTGGGCTGGGGAGCTTCAGGACTTTTAAACAGCCCATCTTTTTGCAAATAGTGGTCTTTTAGAAAACTGCTATTTATATTGAGGTCAATTCTACTTTATTGTAGGTCAAGATTTAATTAAGGAGATATCCCTAATGTATGATGCAGCATGTCATACATACAGTGAAACTAAGTGCTAAATTGTAGGTTACTGATGCTAAGTGCCATGGAAATTGAGAAGATGGTGAGACCCTGAGAGCCTCAGGAGTCACTGGGAGGAGGATTTGACTCTGCTGAGGGGAGAGAATCACTCTGGCTGGGTGGGTGAGGTGGGATGGGCAGTTATACGGAAGGAGCAGAAATCACAGTCAGTAGCAGGTTCTGTTTGTAGGGCCGTAAAAAGGCCAGTGGGGAGTGGATGGGAAATTTTGCCCTTGGTTGGACAAGCGGCTGTGTAGCAAGCCCTGTGCTAGATGCTGGGTTCACAGAGATGAATAAGACATGCTCCCTAGTCTCAAGAGGCTTGGTCGAGGCGGGAGAGAGATGTAAACAGTACAATCCTCAGTTTTAAATTCTACGATCTTGATGATCATGGGGTGCTGTGGAAAGAAGCTAACACAGATGGAAGAAGGGACCCAGTCAGGGACAAAGGAGGCTTTCTAGAAAGAACTGGAGGAGGAAGGGAGGGAGGAGAGGTTTGTGTAGGCTGAAGGAACAGAACAAAGCATCTGCAGACTGCAAGTATTTAGTCTGAGGAAGCCTGGAGAGAAGCAAATGAAGTTGGGTACATAAGGTGGAAAAAAAGGAACCAAAAAAAGTGAGCAGCCTCAAATGAACATGGTTTTGAAAGAGTCCCTGCCTCTTTAAAGAGGTAATTTGTTACATGGCTTGGATGACATATAAAAGTATTATTAGTATTCAGAAAAGCATTTTTATATTGGCTTATAGGTCCAGACAGCTAAGAGCACTGTCCACATATTAATAAAGTCCCATTATACCGGAAAAGCCAATATTCAGAAATTACTTCTTTTAAACAATAGCCTTGCTGGAAAGAGTTCATTGGGGAAAAAAAAGACATTTTATTCAAGATATGTGACTGTAAATTCATCTTGCAAAACATTGAACATATTTGATCTTCTGAAAATAAGGACACTTTGTGTAAAGTGGGCACTTACTTGGTAAGTGATCAGCATATCAAAGGTCACAATTTGATATTTGGTCATTTCTGAATTGTATCTTTTAAAAAAAATAGTGTCGTCAACCTTTTTTAAGGTTAAAGGATCAAAATGCATCTAAATTTAATTAACATTTGCAAGGTGCTCTATTATTTCAACTTATCCTATAAATAGGAGAATGAACACTATTATTAGTATTCCTATTTAAAAAAATTAATATCCTGGGAATGAAGGAAGTTAAGTTTCTTCCTGTAAAGCTAATGTTACTGAATAGTAATACTTGGAATTGAAATAGATCTGACACCTTGTATACAGTCAAGTCCCAACAATGGCTTGGAATATGGTTAAGCTTAGGGTAAAATCTTTAATAAAAAAATTCTTATTTTTCAGTTTCATCTACTCATTCATAACTTTTAATTACGGAGATATTCTAAATGTTAATGATTTGCAGTGGTTACTTGACGTAAACTTTATCTTACTATATTTGATCGTAGCCAAAAGACCGAGAAGCGGTAAACTTGATCTTAGACTGTGATCCCCAAGCAGAGGTGAATTTTAGTGTTAGGTTTAGAATTTCCCTGGGATTGTCTTTATTTAAAGTAAAACATTGACTCCGTTCCATTCTTTAGTCTAGGTTTCTTTTTCCCATTTTATAATCTCTATTGTTCATAGCAGCCAGAATTCCCCTTTAATCCCTTAATGTTATGAAAAGATTTCACACCAATATGGTATTTCTATTATTTTATAAAGTCTTGTCCCCTCTCTCCCCCTGCTCCCACTAAGGAACTACATTACTCCATGTTCTTCCTATGATTTTGAATTTGCACTTGAGCCTCTGTTTGTTTTATTTGGCTAAGCAGTGTGTGGGACCAATTAAAAGAAATGGAAACTGCCCTGGTGCTGTGTGTCTGCTTATGCTTTGTTCTTGTTTCCTTTGCTTGGCGGATGATTCTGATCAAGAAAACTGGTTCAAGAGCTTGGTGTGTGACAGATTGGTATTTGGGGCTGTCACATTGGCCTCATTTAAATATCTCTTCTACTGGCCTGACTAAAGGCTCACTTCCTATTTTTTGTGTGTGGCACATACTTTTGGATGCCCTTAATTTTGTCTCAGCTCTTCATTTCTGCTCTTACATATTTTACTTTTGTTTAAAATGGACTCTAATTGGTTTGGTCAAAGTCAAAAAAAATTTGAAGAATTATTTCTCCTATTATCATTTGTTGCAGAGTGTTTTTTTTTTTGCTCTATAATATAAAAAGTTTATACACATTCCCTTCTCTTATTAGCTGAGCAGCTCTGGCAGGTCGTTTTAACTTTATAAGTAAGAAAATCTTGGATTCCTTAGATATAACATGGGACTGCCCAGTGCCTATTTCATATGGTTTATGCGAGGCATTTCATGCAGTTTCTGGTTTTGTAGAATGTAATCATTGCCTATGAGGTGCCTCTCCTCCTGCTTTGCCCTTCTCAGTGTTAGCAGTTTGACAGTACCTGAAGCCGTGTTGAACACACACACACACACACACACGGAGTTCCTATGTGATTCCTTAGAGATCAGAGGAATGGAATATATAAACTGAGGAGATCTCCTCTATATACATTTAAGTTGCCTTGGTCTGTAAACTATGGTGGAAGAATCCAGCTAAGTAAGAAAAACGAGATAGTAGCTATTGGAACCTGAAATCCATTTTGTCAGCACATGTTGAAAGAACAGTTTGCTTTTTGATATAAAAAATGAAAAAGAAATTTAGAACTTTCATTTATAAATCAGTTTGTATTAATTTATTTTTACATTGTATTATTTTTTTCTTATTCCAAAAGTTATGCATGCTTATTGTAAAAATTAAATATTGCAGGAATGTAGAATGTAATTATAATCATAGCTAACACTTATTGGGAGTTTGCTGTATTTCAAGCATTGTTTTAAACACTTTACATGAATTAACTCTTTTAATAATTTTAGAAAATGAAAATCTACCAAACAAAACGTCAGTCTCTCCCAGATTCCCAAGATAACTTATTGATTAAAGATCTGAAAGTTAATTTTATGACTGGAAAGGATTCAGTAGTTTTTCCAAGTTAACTTCCTTCCTATGGACAGTGTGTGGTAGCCTATTGAAGAGAGTAAAGTGAGACTATTGTATCCATACTTATCAAAGCCCCAAATTGTTGCAATACATTTATGTGCCACCTAACGACATTTCCGTCAATGATGCACCGCATATACGATAGTTGTCCCATAATATTGGTACCATATAGCCTAGGTGTGTAGTAGGCTATATCTTCTAGGTTCGTGTAAGTATGCTCTATGAAATTTGCACGATGATGAAAGTGCCTAATGATGCATTTCTCAGAACGTATCCCCATCGTTAACTGACACATGACTGTACATAATTTTCAAGAATGGGTTGTCCATTTCTATATTCTACTTCCCATTCCTACTCTAGGACCCAAAGATTGAGGAATCTCATAGTTAAAACTATCGTTAGAGTTCAAAGGGGCCCTAATGTGCGTCTAGATAAGTGCTTTCCCTATTGTGTCCCTGGAGAATCTTAAGTTTCCATTGAATTGCAGAAAGGGTTGCCAACCACTTTGACTTAAATACTTTCTCTCTTTATGATGTTTTTAAATATGACGCTCTGATTTAAGCTTACATTTTAAAACTGGATTTTTTTTTTTTTGCTAAAATAGTTGAAACCACTGATCTAATTTAATCTTTCTTTGCGTAGAGATATTCTTGTTAAGAGTATGCTTGACAGGTGGTTCTCCAGACTTGAATCTTTCCAAGGAGAAACCCTAACTCTTTGACAAGAGGCCCTATCCAATTCTGAATGCTCAGAAAGTTCTTCCTTAGAATATTATTCAAAATGTGCCTTCTTTTTCCTGTAAGATGTAATTTTACCTTCGAAAGCCTCCCCAAATAATTTCCTTTTCCAGATGACAACCACGAAATGTATTTAAATAGCTAGCCATATCTTGTTCATAGCTGCCTGCCAGTGGGACCTTTGTTCCTTTGACAGAATCTTCTCTAGTGATAAGATTTCTAGGCCCTATTCAATTCTGATCATCCTCTTCTAAAGTCCTCTACTTATTGATGTTTTTCATCAAATGCCACTTCAAAGCATAATTCAATATTCTACATGTGATCTAGCCTGTGAACAGTATATTGAGATTTTTATCCAATTTAATTTATGCTCTGTTTTAATATTAATTTTGCCACAAGTGCGTTTCTTTTTTTTCTTTTTTAAATAGTTGTTTAAAATGGAATGATGTTAAATGCATGGCTAATTGAAATCCTTTTTTCCTTATATATTGTTGTCAATGCACATCTCTCCCAGCCTGTATTTCTGCTACTGATTTTTGAAGCTGAATGTATTTGTTATGCTTATCTTGATGAAATTGAATCTTGGTCTTGGCCCATTGATGTTCAGTACCGGAATTCCCAAGGGCATTCTCCTCAGAAAGGATTCCTTAGTCACATGTTCTGCCTGCCTTAGAAATTCCCAATACATATTTCTATCAAAACAACTGAGAAGTACTGTTTTAGAGAAAGCTATTTAATTTTGTTTAATGCAACGTTTATTTGAGCACAGAAAATTTTTTTTTTTTTGTTCTCTCTCTTTTTGAAGCATAACATTTATTAACATTTCTTGGGATAGTATTCCAGGAAACACTGCCCAAGTCTGTTAAGAGAATTTTGATTTAAGAACTAGCTGTTTGGGGCGGCCTGGTGGTGCAGCGGTTAAGTTAACACGTTCCACTTCAGCGGCCCTGGGTTCGCTGGTTTGGATCCTGGGTGGAGACATGGCACCACTTGGCAAGCCACACTGTGGTAGGCGTCCCACATATAAAGTGGAGGAAGGTGGGCCCAGATGTTAGCTCAGGGCCAGTCTTCCTCAGCTAAAAGAGGAGGATTGTCAGCAGGTGTTAGCTCAGGGCTAATCTTCCTCAAAAAAAAAAAAGAAGAAAGAAAGAAAGAACTAACCCTTTAACATTATGTTAACTGTAAATTTGATTACCTTGTTTCTTATAGTTTGATCCAGTTCAATAGTTAAAATATTAATGGCACAGGGTCAAGAAAGAACTCCTTGTATATCAAGGAGTGTTCCTAGATTTATATAAATAGGAAAGAAGTGGTGTTCCTAGAATTATAATAATGTTGAGGTGTTGTACATTCTTGGGCTGTTGTTGTAATAATCTTATCTCAGAATTTTCAGGCTTAGCAAGAAAAGTTACTATTTTCTTATTTTAGGAATTCACTTTTTCTTCTGTGTTGAAAACCAGAATATTATTCCCCATCCTGACATTCTTCATAGTTGAGCTATCCATGTCATACCTGGTTCCATGGTTCCATGGTCATACTTGAAAATACATTCAGCTAATTGTGCTATTTTGGGCTGGACAAGCTTACTGTAGTAGTTATCCCATTGTTTCTCACTGTACTTCATAGGTGTCTGTCATGAAGGAAACGTTATGTCTGGAGAAAATGTATAAATAGCTCATAATTCTTAAAAAATGCTAGATTTGAATACTCTAAAACCAGGCTTAAAAGTTAACAGAAATTGACAGGGGATAATCTCTACTTGCCAAGATGCTTGCCATCAAAATTATCTATTTTGGTTTATAGAGATATACTTCAGGGAAAGTTTTCTATGAATAACCTCTCTGATTAATATATGAATATCCCTATATAAATAGCCCTTGGTGGTCCATTGATAAACAAGGCTGTTGTTGTATTAGGTGCACTTTTCATCAACTTTGTTCTGTAGACCATTATTTTCAGGAAATATTAACAGATATGCCATATGAATGACAGGAACTCCATGGTCAATAGGTTTGAGAGAAACTAAATAATATATTCTCCTCTTGGAAGGTACATTGGCATATTAAAGACTTTGAGAAATCCTATAGGATTAAAAAAAATAAAGCCTGTTTTTGTTTAACCTAATGTCTTCTAAACTTTTTTGAGCATAGCACCCTTTGTTATGTTTTGTTTTGAGTCACAACTAATGTATTTCATTTTTCAATCCACTTGTTGGTTTGACTGTTGCTGCCCTTGGTCTGGACCACCTCCAGCTGTCTCTGCCCTCTTCATACTGCATCCTCCTTTCCTGCAGCCAACATTAGAAGCATTAGGTCCTGCAGAGAGCTTAGGTGGGAACATCCAAATATTTTCTTCATTTATTCACTCATTCACCCAATAATGATTGAGGATGCACCCAGGGGAAAGCAGTGATGTATATTCTTTGAGGATACCAACAAGTTTAAATTATGGACTGCCCCTCCAAAGTGTATGTCCAAGCTTGAGAGATAAAACATGCTGTAAGAACTGTGAGGATCATGGGAGAGGGACTCAACGCTATCATAATTTAGACAAAGGAGAGAGCAGCTCCAGCTACATGATCATGAAAAGCTTGATGAAGGAATTGGCGCTTGAGATGATCCTTAAAGGTCAGCTCATATGTTGATGGGTAGAAATATGGGTCCCTCATTCTAGGAGGGACTAAAAGCACCAAGGTCGAAGGCCATACAGCTTACATGTGGAGCTGGGTGGGTGGTCCAATTTGATAGACTGGAGGAGAACAGTAGAAATTAAATTTGGAACAGTCAGTCTAACTTGATGAGTAATATTGTATGACAAGAAGACTGGAAAATTCACTAAGAAAACTAGAAAAGTGTAATTTATGGGAGGTTTGCATAGAATTCTGAGTACTGCCTTTGCTTCCTGCCTCCTTTTCTCTCTGTTGTCCTCCTCCAAGAGCCAGGCAGTCAGGACCAGGCTATGGCATAAAAGGATGCTTTAAAAAGGCTTTAGTAAATGCTGAGCCAATCCCAGTAGTTCTGGGTTGTTAAATACTGCTTAGGTTATAGGCTATGTGCCGGAGTAAAGCATAGACAGATGCAAATCACAATGCTGCCCATGCTCAGAAACAGTGTCAGATACTGGTGTACTATGCGGAGTTTTTATAAAAGTGTGTGCTATTGTTGCATGAATATTTGTTTCAATATTAAGAACCATTTGTGTGGTACTATGCTCCTAGCAATGAGAATCTTCTTAAAGAAAGCCAAATTCCCTTTCTTTGAGAAGTGTTAAATCCTCTTCTTCAAAATTAACATAATTCCTGGTGTTAGTCCACTGAGAAAAGAAGTGAAGAGCATTCTAATCTATTCTAGCCTTCATTAAGTGTCTGTCCTTACCAGATTTGTAAGAAATGATTTTACACTTTTTGATCTTCCTAAACCCTAGTGACTGGTGACATTTTGATCTAGAGAGGAAAGAAAATTTACTAATTGGCTTCAAAAAAAATATGAGGCATAGTGTGGTTAGTGGTGATGGTAGAGGAATGAAAAGAAAAGTTAGAGAAGAATTCCTTTAAATTTCTGATCTGGGTGATAAAATTAAGACTATGTCCATGGTGTAACTTAAATGTGATGTATCTCACTTCTATTCTTGGTAAAATCATACATCTGTGTACCAGTAACTTATGTTTTAACATGGTTTGTATGAGTAGGGAGGGGGAGTTTGAGAACTCTGAAACTACAGAGAAATATATTTTAATGATCATTGTATTTCTGTGAAACATACTTACACTACTTTGGTCCTGATCTTATAGGAAGTCAGAACTTCGCATTAACAAAGCATCAGTGACTGATTCTGGAGAATACATGTGCAAAGTGATCAGCAAATTGGGAAATGACAGTGCCTCTGCCAATATCACCATTGTGGATTCCAATGGTAAGAGATACCAACTGCATTCTATTCCTCAATCTGTCAGCAGAGGAATCAAGATGTGTGGTAAGACTTGAATAAATCCGTGTGTTAAATCTCATTGTGAACAAATAAAAAACATGGAAGGAAAACCACAAATTTCAAGTATCTCGTATGTCCTCCATAGAGCTTTTCACTCTGTGAGGTGGTATAGACCTGAAATAGATTTTTTTTTTTAAGGATTTGAATAAGGTCGTGAATGGCAGAGACAGGATGGGTTGCTAAAAGGAAGAAGTTATACCTCCCTTTAAGTTAGCCAGGGAAGGGCAGTCAAATCTTTGGCTCTGTCAGAAACAGAATATGTGTATATGTATATACGTGTATTTATATACAAAATACGTGTATATATACAGAATATATGTATATCGTATATATTTACACATGTATGTATATCATGTAGGAGTATATGTATGTTGCATGTGTATGTGTATGTGTGTAAACAGAATACAATTCTGACAGTCCTAGAAATTTTTATGTTCTTATATGTGTTATTAATACATCTGGCTCTAGGTTGTAGGAAGTTAGGCTGATCACTTTTTTTAGGCCTATTCTGAAATTAGGAGAGTCTTAGAGACAAAGCGTTTCCTGCTATGCAAAGGCTTCAGCTTCTGTTTTCCCTGAGAACAGCACCAGAGGGTATTTGTTAAACAAATGAATGACTTGGAGGCAGAAGGTGCCACCTGCCCTCTGACAGCTTCTCTGAGGTTTTCTGAGGAAAGTAAAGGAACCACAGCTGGCGGCTCTCTGTTCGATATCCCAGTACTCCACAGCTTGATGGAGCCATCTATAGAAGCTGCTGATGAGCTAGCTGTGAGTGTTTGAATGTCTTGAAATAGTAAAATGTGACTTCAAAACCTTTGGTGCTCCTTTTCCCTTTTGAATTGCAGCACTTAACTGCTGACTTCACAAGCCCTGTCGTCTGTTCTAAAACCAAGTCAGGTGGCACTGCTTCCAGGTAGATGAGAAAGAGTGTCTACTGCAAAGGCCTGATCTCTTAAAGTGATAAAGTAAAAAAGCTAAGCCAGCAAGAGAAGAGGAAAAGTAACTGGAAGGGTTAACTCCATAGGAGACTGACGTAGTTTGTGTCAGTTGACTTAATGGGATAGGGAGAAGGAAGTGAGATAAAAATATGAAACAGGGTTGGGAAAATACAGGTTAATTCCTAGTCTTCTCTGGCCTTCCTGATGACCTGCTCTATTGCATTGTAAATCAACATTCATCACTTTCTTTTTAAATCCTCCCTCCACAGAGAGGAAGGGACAAAGGTGAGCCGCAGTTTGCATTACTATTTTTAGGAGCTGTGTTTGTCATTTAAAATGTAAAAGCTATTGAAAATTTATATGAATAAATGTAATAGCACTTTACTTTTAAATCAGCACAGGTTAAGCAGTAGTATTTTGCTAGTGTTATTTTACCCCACATGGAATTTTATAGGATGATACTTGAAACACACATTTAAAAATTAATTTCAGTGGCTTATTCTTTTCTTTCTATTGTACCATGTTAGCTTGTTCTCGGTTTGTCGCTGGCTTGGTTCACTGGGTCTCCCCGTGGTAAATGCTTTTGAATTATGATTTTGACACTTGGATTAGATTTGTGTAGCTATGCATACTGTAAAGTCCCAGGAAAATAAAGTCAGAGTAAGTTTCATGGTCTCACTGAGTGCTTACAGTAGTATTGTATTGATTATTCTATGTTTTCAGATTTACGAGATTAAGTAGTGAATTATTTACCACTATATTATTCCTGGCAAAAACCCATAGGGTTCCTTTTTTTATTAATTTTAGAGTGCCGAAAGTTTGATAATATGGCTTTTCACATTAATTTCATAGGAGAGACATCAAATTCATTTTTCCCTATTAACTCATTCAAGAATTGATCTCGAGGGGCTGGCCCCGTGGCTGAGTGGTTAAGTTCGCGCGCTCCGCTGCAGGCGGCCCAGTGTTTCGTTAGTTCGAATCCTGGGCGCGAACATGGCACTGCTCATCAGACCACGCTGAGGCAGCGTCCCACATGCCACAACTAGAAGAACCCACAACGAAGAATACACAACTATGTACCGGGGGGCTTTGGGGAGAAAAAGGAAAAAAATAAAATCTTTAAAAAAAAAAAAAAAAAAAAAGAATTGATCTCGAGTTAAGGTATATGGCATTAACCAACTATAGTGTAGAGAAATGAAAGCAGGGATGTTTTTGATAATGAATCCTTTTGACCTGAAAGGATAAAGAAAAGTTCATGGAATATTGCAAGGAAGTCATTCTTAAACATCCAACTAAAATTCTTTAGGAAATGGGTTCTTACTGCCTTATTTAAAACATCTAAAGCAGGAGAATGAAGAATCTCAATTACACGGCAAGGTGTCTTGTCTCTATTTTCTTCTTAGAATGTTAGAAATAGTTTACCCTTATCGAACCCTCTCTTTGTATTTAAAAAGAAATGAAGATTTAGAATGTGTCTTAAACCAGGCATATTCGGGATCACAAGGTATAGTAGCAAAAGGGGCCGTGAACCCAGGTGTCTGTAATTCCTGGTCGAGTACAGCTCACTCTGTACATGACTGTGTTGGCGAATGTGTAAGATAAGATTCTTTGGTTTGTGAAGAACAGAAACTGAAGGAATGGTGTGAGGCAGAAAGAGAGAGGAATTCCAGAGAGAAGAACTAGAACTTCATTATACTGGACCTCAAAGAGAAAATTGTACCCAGGGCATCTCTGAGAAAAGAAGCAATGGGAGTTTGTGGCTCTTCTTTCTACTGTCTCTGCTTTTAATGTGCCTCAGATACTTTCTTGACTCTTCTACAATTTCTTATATCCTCTCACCTCTCCTGCTCTCAACTATGCTCCTTTATAACTCCAAAGTTTGACCAGATTATGATCCCACTTGGCCACATTCTTCTGCCTGGCTCTTTTCAAGGCATTCTTTCAGTTGCAGTTCCTACTGTATGATTGTTTCCTTAGGTCCCAAATCAAATTCCCCATAGCAAGAATCTGATTGGCAGAGCTTATTGTGTCAGACCACATAGAAAGAACTAGAGAGCTTACCGCTCAATTGCCTTCTGGTCAGGTGCCCACCATGGGCTCAACTCCGGAGAGCGAAGCCAGAAACAAGGCTGCCTAGAAACGCCCCTCTCTTCAGAGGCTGTGAGTGGGCTGTGCTGCTCATCAGAGCCTGTGGCTTGGCAGGCACCATGATAGACAAGGCCAGTGAGCTCTGCATATTGGGAGAGTCTTTTCTCCCTACACCTCAGGGGCTTAGCTGTAGTGTAACTAAAAGGAAAATATGTAATCATTCTGATCCTTTACCCTCTTCCATTGCTATCTGTGAATTTGCTATATTCAGATCAAGGCTCGTTCTCAAGGAAGTTTCAGCTCCTGTGCTGATCTCTTTGAGACTCAGATGCACTCCCTTTGTGTTGTCGCATCCCTGTCTCCCTAGGAATCTGGGCAAAGGTGCACAGAAACACTCTTTCAGAGAGAAAAACAACACTCTGCTGTGGTTATAAACTGCCACGCAGCCAAACCATCCTTCCTAAATCTGTATTTACTGTTAACTTGGGCTGAGAGAGTGGAATTCTCAAGAATTTCTTTCTTCCTTGGGAGTCATAGGAAAAAAAAGGCTTAAAAATTAGAATATATTGTCAAAATATTATAGTGTGTAGAACTCCCCTCGAGACTTTAATTTATGTTTTCTACGAAATATTAGTCATTTTGTTAATTTTGTCCTGTGTCACTCATCTCTCCCATTTTTCTCCAGCAAGTACACAAGTATGGTTTGATAATTTCTATACAGGTGCCTTGATGAAAGATCCTGGTACGTTGCTTAGAGCTAATTATCCTAAGCAAAGGATTCCTTGCGATTTACTGAAATTCTCACACAAGTGCCTTCTTTGCACTAAGATATTTAGAATATATTTTGGTGTAAGATTCTAAGAGGGATGGCAGAAGTTAGGTGGAGCCACGCATGGGAGACTTTTCACCCCAGAAAAAAATGAAAAGTGTAGCATGATGACCTTGCTATTTGACACTGTTTTTAATCCCATTAAGACCTATTTAACTGTTAGAATAAAATTAGCTTAGATCTTAAGGTCTAAGTCTTCCATCCAATATTATGAACTTTTTGCATTGAAAGTTACTGTTTAGATCTACCTACATTAGTAACTAGATATAAATGATAAAAATACTAAGAAATTCCCCTTGAATCCTGTACTTGAGTGAAACAATGATCGTATTTCCACTATTTTCAGAAACTTAGAAAAGAATGGACATATAGCCAATCATTTTTAGGATATATTTTAGAAATTTATATGTCTTCTACCTTCTCCAATGCCTTTTAATCCCTACCTTATTTGGAAAAAAAAGAATTTCTCATACAGTAGGCAGATATAAGCCTGTGCAATCTGCTAACTGCTTCTGGGACTATGCAAGTCTAATACGGTCCAGTTGAGTTTTCATATAAAGAAGGATCTCGTAGGCAGTATCATTCCATGATGGATTACGGGTGGGTTCCTTTTATGAATTCACATATGGCAGTTTAAAAGGTCCCATACACCATGCTTACAAGGATCATACACTATGTGTTCATTTTTATTTGTATTTTATTTGGCTTGGTCTTTATATAGGAAACCCTAATTTATCAATTACCTCTTAGCTAACAAGCTCCATAAAAACTCCTGCACATCAGATTAGAGAAGAGAATAGTAGATCTAACTGGTTTTCAAATTAATTAAGTACAGCAGTCTTTTAAAACATTAGTACAGGAGAATATATAGCTAATCAATCACATCTTCTCCTAGGTTTTCTTTTTTTAATGAGAAGAAAAATTATTTGAGTGAGATTCAATTTCCCATAGGAGCAATTGGGCTCATAGCAATAAAATAGCTGTTTCATTTAAGATGAGCAGAAAAATATTATTTCCACAAAATTTGACAAATAAAGCAATTGGCCCTTTAAAAAATTGGCTCATGTGGGTAACAGGCTTGGCCTCACCCCCTCTCCCAAACTGACAGTGGTGTGGGAATGCCATGGTATTGGTGAACAACCTATAGTTATACTGTGAAGCATGTGAAATAGGTTTTATAATTTGCATAGCAGTCTCCATGTATGTTGTATTACATAGGATTCCCATGAAGGCTATAAGCAAGAGCAATATGAGTGGAGTAGAGTCATATTTCAATGCATAGTATTCATCGTGTCTCTACACCATTTGCTAATTTCAAAATTTCTCAGTTGCTTAAGAGTAAGCACTCATTATGAGCAAGAATTTAGACACTCGAAGATGTTCCTGAAGCCATCTGCCAGTGCTCATAAACAAGTGTGCCCATTTTAAATCTTTAAAACAATGACTTGATCAATTTTTTGTATGCACAATAATGACCTGTAATTTTAGAATAACAGAGTCACATAATTGGATGTCTAAATACACACAGACACCTCTTATATGTGTTTGTATATACGTATATGTATATTTTGCTAAATAGTTATATTTAGTATATTGTGCTAATGGTGAAATCTCAAAAAAATCATGTATACATGATAATTAGAAAAATTCCTTTCAAGAAGGTGTTATTTTTCAGATACTGCAACTTTTTCTTGAGGTCAGATTCTATTTATTCAAAAAGCATTCAAACATTTCGAGTACACTAATGTTCCTATGTTTACTTGCGTCCTCAGCTTGAGTTGCTTAGCTGTGTTCAGCTCCTAATGATTCTAAATCCTCATTAATTTGCACTAATAAAGGGGATGTCCTTTATAAATGAACAAATTTAATATACCAAATTACTGTGGGAAAAATATGTTGCTTAAATAAACATCAAGGGGATTGCAGGACTTAATTTTTAAAAAATCTTTAATAATAACATAAAATTATTTTCAGTTACACTTATCACAAAAGGTTGTTTTCTAAATCTATGAATTCTACCCAAAATAAGCATAAAAATACTTGCTGAGTGGTTTTAATCAAAAAGACTAACTTTTTTTATTAGCAAGATTCTTTTAGTATAGAAGTATAAACTTCTGATCTTGTATTTCCCCCAAGATAATTCACAAGGTTTTTATTTGGAACCATAACCATTAAAGATGTTTTTATGTTCTCCAACATGAATATCTAATTTTAGGAAGAGGTTATTTTAAATTGTCTCTGTACTACATCTTTGTAGTAACCTCCTGTTCTGGTATTTTTATCTAACATTCAATTAAAAAAGGAAATGTTATGGTTAACCTTTCCTCTAATCTGAGATCTTTTATGCTGAGCTAGGAAAGCTCTGATTTTTTTTCTTGGAAGGTCACAGTGGCCAACTACTTAGTTTGTCAAAAGTAAATTTGAAAAGAGTCTTGATACTCATGCTGGGATTGGCACTTTTGCCCAATTCTTGTGACCCTGAGCTTGCTACTTCAGTCTGGCTGTCACGTCATTGATGGGTCCTGAAGGACAGAGTCAGGAAGCATCTCTCCTAATGTGGGCACTTGCCTTGGAAACATGCATCTTCTTCTAGGTCTTCATAGAGAAAGTCAAATGCTGTGGATCTTTGATAAAAATCTTTCTCTCAGATGAAATTTTTCCCAAAAAACAACAGTTCCATTTTCTACAGCCCAAATCAAGAAAGCTAGTTGTAGATGCTTCAGAAGCAAATATCGCCACATTACCAACTCAGAATATCCTCTTTCATGTCTGCTGCTTTGAGACAATGCAAAGGACATCATACACCCTCACATACTGATTCCTTTCACTTTGTCCCATTTTTAGTGTTTTTAAGAGCCGATGTAGGCAATTTTGGTGGCTTGATAATAATCTCATACTTTGAATGGTTTGTCCTCCTAATGCTTGATTAGAGAGGACCGTCCATACTAAAATTTGCACAAGAAAGATACATTTGCTCTTACTAAAGCTATATTTATGATCTTTATATATTCATATTTAACCTGATGCTTATTCTTAAACATCCCTGCTGAATCTTACATGCCATTTTCCTTTTCTTGCAATTCCACAAAACCTTTTATCCCTGAAGAAGTCTCTGAGGTTGAAGAAATATTGCGACTTAAATTAATTCCTCTTACCTGCAAAACTAGTCCTATCATGGAAACCCTAGATGGTCATATCTATATTTAAAGATGATTACACTGATCATGAACATTTTTAACTCCATGATTAACAGGCTAATAATTCAAACTTAAAATGATAGCGTATATGACCTACTTAGGATTTTAGTAGAATCTAGTAACTTTTGTTGTATATCACAACAGATTCAACTATCTTTTTGTCTTGGTTAGTAAGTGGTAAATACTATTAAATCATTCGATAATAATTATATGCACAGTGAAGGTTGAATGATATTCGTCATTGCATCTCTACATCTTTTCATGCTTTGGAAAACTATGCCTTCCTGAAAATATTAGATTTTAACAACTGAAACCCTTGTCAGAAGGACTGATTGAATACAGAATTAGACAATGTAATCATCCTTTATCCCATCATAAAGGCAGTAAGGAAGCAAGTCAAAGTTTGAACAAGACCATCACAGTTCCCATGATAATGGTGTGTCTAGAAGTGTGCAGGTTCATTCTTCATTTCATTGAGGTGGAAGCTGCCTACTTACTCCATGTCCTGCCCTGAGCAGCTGAAATATCTATCATATGATAGGGCACCCATCTTGATCACCACTGGCAATATTATGTAGAGTTCGATGCTGGAACTTGATGGTTTTCATCAATCCCAGCTTGGGATTGCATTTGTTTTTGAACAAAAATGTAATTCTCCAAAGATCTGTAATTTAAAAATTTTGACCACAGCTTTGATTTCTCTTAGTTCTGCTATTTCTGCCTTTCTTTCTGAGGAAGAGCCCACAGCTCTTCCATTCTCCAATATATTGCCATATATTCTCCCTCACGGACCCCAATGGGGGCAGAGAATTCTTCTCAATTATTCTAGAATAGCTCATCTTATGCTCTTTGCCCAGAAAGAGGAACTACTTATCTGGACAGTCTTGTTTTGTATTTCTTGCTCTCTGTGTGGATAAACCTGGACTTTCATCACCCCCTTGCAATACTTCCTTCCTTCACACTCATTTTTGGTTTGAAGGCAGGCTGTGGAACTGACCCTTGGCCTCCTGATTATACATCGTAATCACCTATCACCTTTTTTTTTGCAGAGATCTTTACTGGCATGCCAGCCTCAACTGAAACAGCATATGTGTCTTCAGGTAAGGAAAATAAGCTCGTCAAAGTTTACTAACCAGAATGACATAACTGCTGGCTGCTCCTTCTACTAATCAGAACCCCTTCTGCATCCAAATTTCAGCTATTCTTGTTTTCTGCTCTGATGTTTTTCTCCAGGTCCTTCTGCCTTTTTGGATTTTACTTCAAGGAGTACAGTTCTTGTTGTGTGTCTGGACTTGGGCACGAAAGGCTTGCATGAGGAAAACATGTCTACATCTAGATACAACTTAGTGACGTTAGACCAAGAAAGGAGACATCTGGGTTATACTTCAGTTTTTATATCTTTGTAGGTGCTTCTCTTGGCTGCCTCTACTCTCTTTCGTCTGTCAGAGTTTATTCCTGGATAATGTAGCAATGTCTGATCTCTGACCTTAGGGCTTCTAATGATCAGTTGTGGGTCACTAAACTTACAAAAATAGTTATAGGCCTGACTTTTTTAAACGTTGTTGCATTTTGGGGGCATTTATTTGTTTTTGTTAGTTTCTCCTTTGCCCATAATATTTGCTGATAGCAATTATAGTCTTAGCAGACATTAGCTACTTATAACCGAAGTCTACTAATGCATGTATAACCATAATTCATTGATTTCTCCACTAGCTGCAAATTTAATTAATCTACTGTGAATTAATTTTTTTTTTTCACTTTTCCTTATCCTCTGTAATTCTATAGTTAACAGAACCTTAGAATATTTAAAAATTAATACTTAATTGGAGGTAAGCTTTTGGAGACCTAGATTCAAAACTCATTTCGGAGGTAAAAGAACAGGTTGTTTTTGCATGATACCTTACAGTTTACAAAGATTTTTACATCTCATTTGTAATCACAACAGCTTTGTGAAACAGGACATTATTTTTCTTCATTTTACAGATGAGAAAAATGAGCATTAGAAATCTTAAGTCATATATCTCAGCAAGTAGAAGAGCAGACACTTCAAGCTCAGTATTCTTCCCATGACCCCGTATTTCCTGTTTTGGCTTCATTGACTTTTTTCCTTCTGGCCTGTACCTTGTTGAAGCTGTAGGAGGCCATATAATCTAACACAGCCTTTTCCATCTTACCTTCACCAGTTTTTCCTCTTCTCTTCAAAGCTGTTGTTGAAAGTCATAAACGCTAAATTTCTCTATATCCTAGACTGCTTTGGCCATCTTTAGGGCATATTCATGTGTCGTCACTAAGATGTTAAGTATGTGTGTTGTAGGGTGGAATGATCCTGGAACCTAAGAGGATCTTACTTTTCTGAGTAATAGAAAGAAAGAGAGAGAGAAAAGAGAGAGAGACGGAAAGAAAGAAAGAAGGAAGGAAGAAAAGTAGGGAGGGAGGGAATGAAGGAAAGACAGAGATAAAAAGAAAAAAAATTGTTGAGTTATCTGAATATCTTCACCTTTCATTCAGGCATTTCTTGAATGTAAGGACTTCGTTTTCTGACTCCAATAGATGCTGTCATGAACCTGAGCTTTTAAATTTATGTCGTGCTTTTCTTGGGAATTTGGAGTGACTATAACTTATTTTCTCATATCTGATTTGAATCTTTATAACTTTCTGGCTGCTGAATTTCAATCCTTCTTTGATACTAAGTTGTTCCTATTTCTTACTAATAAAAACCCTTTCCCATGCTTTTTTCCAGCATGAGTTATGTTTTATGCTCTGTCTGTACTTAAATACTGGTTTTCCTTCCTTTACTCTTGCTACCTAAGAGAATCTTGCTACTCTTCCTCCCCAATAATTGGATTATGTATTTGTTTAGCATGTTTTATATGATCCTCATGTAATTATTCTGCTGGACTCTGCATGGACCTTACTCACACCATGTTTAGTTAGGATGTTTATGCGGACCAAGTTGCCTGAAAATTTTCTCATTCTTCCTTTTTTTCTCTATGCGTGGAAGGCAACTTTCACTCTCTCAGATTATGGGGATTGTTCTCTTTGATTTCAAGTTTCTTAAAATCAAGACGACTCCTAAGAGAAGGAGTTGTGTGTGTCACCTGTAGGGTGGATCTGTTCAGAGTAGTATCTCTAGGAAGTTCCTACGGCAGTTGCTGTGTGGGACGTCTTTCAGATGGACCGACTCCATCTTCATCTCTTTCAAAAGTCTTTGGGTCTGGACTACAGGAATATTCCTTTGTGGTCTCTGAATATTGCATATATCTTCCTCAGACATGGAAAGGCTTCAGCTTTTCTGTTGCACTATTTTCTAGTCCTCTTTTTCTAGATGATCCGCAAGCCTGGAAAATTTCTAATTTTAGAATCTAAGCAGCATGGTTCAATAAAGCCTCATTCCACTTTTATGTTTTATAGAGTCTCCCATTAGAATATCAGTATCAACAGAAGGAGCAAATACGTCTTCATGTAAGTATATTTAAATATTCTGTTCACTACTTTTTAACCCAAGACAGTATCTGCTTCTGAAGATCGTGTTCACGTCTATCCTCTGCCCTTCTTGAGGGACAGTGTATCAAGTGTGGTAGCGGGATGGCGTTTGCTGTTTGGAATAGAAATGGCCTCCTGCTGTGCTTGGGGTTGACTAGCTACCCTCTGCCCCTAAGATACATGTAGATATTAAGAGATACCAAATATGTGGTAGTTTATCTGTAGTGTCTTTGAATGTTGGAAAATAACTACATAGCCTCTGAGGCCTGGCTCTGGGCGAGCAATAGAGAGATCATTGTTGGGTTTTTTTTTTTTTTGGTTTTTTTAGTGTATCTGATGCCTTCAGCAACTGCCTGAGGCATGATACCCAGCTGGTAGGGGCCTCTGTTCCAAAGCTCGTCAGTTCTCTATAAAGTCTGCTGTGATGGAGTAAGGAAACTATATATAGATGCCCTTAATTCAAATTTGACAGCAAGTGACTAATTATGAAAATGTTTGAAAGCAAGTCCCTAGGCAAAAATTCAGATTAGTTTTCATCTGTTTAATGTGAAATGGGCTCTGTGCTTATGGAGTTCTCCCACTGTTAGATGGAGTGGTGCTTTGTGCTATGTCAGGGGAACTTGAGAAATTAGCAAGAACTTGTAAAAAATAGTTTTGATATTTATAAATGGTGAATAGCATAGAATTAAATTTTGCGATCCAACAGGGGAATGCATCAGACCTTGAAAATGAAACTTATAACTACAGTCTTTCTCTTCCTTATTTTAGCTCTTTGTTTAAAGCTATTTCTCAGTTTGATAAGCTCTTCAGTAAATAGGTGCTCCCGATTGTTCTATTCCAACCTTGAGAGTGTGTTTAAGGAACAATTTCCTTTGGCCCTTAGCATGGTAGGAAACACTTGAAAAGAAGGTCTGTACTTTTGGTGACTTCACTTTTTTTGTCAATCTTTTTTTTTTTTTTTTTTGGCACCTGAGCTAACAACTGTGGCCAATCTTGGTGTTTTTCCTGCTTTATCTCCCCAAATCCCCCTGGTACATAGTTGTATATCTTAGATGCAGGTCCTTCTAGTTGTGGCATATGGGACGCCACCTCAACGTGGCCTGACGAGCAGTGCCATGTCCGCACCCAGGATCCGAACCCTGGGCTGCCACAGTGGAGCACGCGAACTTAACCACCCGGCCACGGGGCTGGCCCATGTCAATCTTTTAAAATAGATCCAGTTTGATCCCAAAGCCTCTCTGTTTGCGTTGGTGTTACCAGAACTGTAACGATATGATGGAAACATTTTTTATTGCATGAAGTATAATGTTTTGGCTATACTTTAGGTAGGTAAAGCATCATTTAATTGGATTGATGGCAATAATCTTGTAAGATCAAACAGGAAATGAATTGCTAGGAAGGACTAAATTGGCTTCCTCTTTATTCTGAGGACACTCATTACCTACTCTAAAATGATAATCCCTTCTAGGAAGTTTTGGGTATTTGTTATTTAATTCCATTTATAAGAAGATTAGTATAATTAGGGGCCTGCCCCATGGCCAGTAGTTAAAGTTCCACATGCTCTCCTTCAGTGGCCCAGGTTCACTGGTTTGGATCCTGGGTGCGGACCTACTTTGCTCATCAGCCATGCTATGGAGGCATCCCACATACAAAAAATAGAGGAAGATTGGCACAGGTGTTAGCTCAGGGCTAGTCTTCCTCAAAGGGAAAAAAAAAAAGAGGAGGATTGGCAACAGATGTTAGCTAGGGTGAATCTTCCTCACCGGAAAAAAAAAAGATTAGTATAATTATATAGCTTTTAGCTAACTAGCATTAAGGAGTCATGTTGAGATTTGTTTTATATTTTTGAGTGTTTATTATACAAAAGTAAATACTAGGTTTTTCTTTTTGACATTTTTGTCTGGGAATAATTTCTCCCCTGCAGGATTCATTGAATAAAGTCATTGAAACTCTTGTAATTGGAACCCTTCATGCTATCGTTAATGGGGCGGTGGATGCTATCCTTAAGCATATCTGAGTAGTTCTGGAATGAAATACTTCTTACTGTTTTCCAGAGCGTTAGGGAACTGAAATGAATCTCCCTGTTTACATTTCTGTTCATTGCAATACTGTTGAGAGGGAAATAATTTTGAAATCCGACGCTGATCTCTAACTCTCAGCGGAATTAGTTCCTGATATTTGGTAAAGGCTTAAAACTAAGCAAGAAGGCTTTGTGTATCATTATGTTGAAAGATTTCAGCATGCCATTTTCATACCTCACTCCCCGTTCATGGTAGGCTCTCAGTAAATATTGTTGAGTTGATTAATGAATACACTTTTTTAATCTTATGAAAATATGCTCTATAATTTGAAAATATAAACCTATAGTAGCAGGATCCTCGGTCCAGTCTGGTTAGAACAGTGAAAGCAGCATGAGGCACTGAACATATGTAAAGGCAGCATCGCACAGAACCCGCCTTGCAGAAGGGCTGCGATGTCAGCAGATCTCCAATGAGGAAAGGCTGAAGGTGAAACCTGAAGACTCAGCAATAGCAATAAGTTGGGCTTAAAAATTCAAAATACGTGAAAGAGTCAGAGGCCTTGGAAAAGTTCACATAGGGCAGAAATAATCAGCCCTGAAGTGTAGGTTTCTTTTCAGTTTATTTCAGCCCGCGGAGACGCTCGTAAATCCCTGTATGTGCAAAGTGAACTGTGCTATCACAGCGTAATCATGTCTGTGTGGGCTACATTCTTTGAACTCTTGACACTGGTGTTTTCTAAAGTAATTTATGAAAAGCCTTTCTGAAGTAGTATGGATTCAGGAAATCTTCTATGTATTATGACGATTTGGTGTGCTTCTTGGGTCGGTATAAAAAAGGCGAGGCAGCCGTGTTGCTGTTCAGTTCTGGAAGTACAAATGTGCGCACCCTTGTGAGGAAACGTCCCCTTCCTGCCTGTCCCGTTTTTGGGAGCATCTTACCACTGGGGGAATCTTGAGAGGGTTCAGCAGTGGTAGTTTATGTCCTTGGCCCGGCTCGGAACCCTGCCTCGGATACCAAGTCAGTCTTTTCTGCCGGCATCCTATTTTCCCCCAAAGCCTTCCCTCCACTCCAGCCCTCAGAGTTCTCCTTTTCTCCTTTGTAACTCATGTTGGAAAAGAAAAAAACAAAAAAAAGAAAAGAAAAATTGCCCATCTACCTATCAAAAATACTACTGCTAATTTTAGTATATTTCCTAATTGGTGTTTTTCCTTCTGGCTTTTTACTTATCCATCCTCCTTCTATCTGCTTAATGTAGCATAAACGTATTCTCATGTCGTTAACTACTAATCAGAAATATTTTAAAAGTACTTTTTAAATCTAAAATTTTTAAGTGATTTTTTTAAAATCACTAACAATAAAGAAATTGTTCTTGACTGCAGGTTTTAAGAGATTTATTTTTCACCTACAAACCTTATCGTTTTTGCCCCCTTTATATTTATTTTTCCTAGTGTTTCATAAATATTGGTGAAATAGCAAAGTTACCAGTCTCCTTCCCTTTGTAAGGCAAGTTTTAACTCCTTCTCTTTTGAAATTTGGAATTTGCATTGTATATTCACTATATTTAAAGCTGCTAATTTATAAAATTTGTGTTTTTTTGGTGAGGAAGACTGGCCCTGAGCTAACGTCTGTTACCAATCTTCCTCTTTTTGCTGGAGGAAGATTGTTGCTGGGCTAACATCTGTGCCAGTCTTCCTCTGTTTTGTATGTGGGACCCCTCCAGAGAATGGCTTGATGAGCGGTGCGTAGGTCCACACCTGGGATCCAAACCTGTGAACCCCAGGCTGCCGAAGCAGAGCATGTGAACTTAACGTCTATACCACTGGGCAGGCCCCCAAATTTTTAAAAAGTCTCTTGTAATAATCTCCTGATAAAAATTAACATTATTTTTCTTTATTTTATTTTTTTTGTAAATAAGGCATCTTTGACTTAGAAATGTAGAAATAATTTGCTAAATGAGTATCCTATTACACATAAGCGACAAGTTGTACAAGGAGAAGCACTTGAACTTACAAAACAGCTGGGAGGACTATCCTGTTCCTCCTTTACATGGAATCAGCAAGAAGGGAAATGGACTATTTAGAACAAACCTTAATGACTTCTCTCTGAAGTGCCAGCTGCTGGTGACCCTCTTTTGCTGATGATTCTGTTGAATGCTATACAAAAATACAATTGTTCTACCAACCACTTTGCTGAATTAAGAACCATCCATTCCAATTTAATAAATAAATGAGGGAAACAAAGACAAAAAATCTAATGAATGCAATTGGGAAGAAAATAAAGATAGGTTTCTGAAAAATAGTCTTAAATAGTATTATATGTTTCAAATAATAATAACAGGAAACGTTTATTGAAGGCTCACTGTGTGCCAGGCGCTCTGCTAGGTGATTTACGTGGATGATGACTCATGGTTCTCACAAAACCTTATTCCATTTGTCAGATGATGAAACCTGATATATTTTGTCTAAAGTCACACAAGCAGGATTCAAAGCCAGACAATACACCAGCCTGCTATGATGCATGAGGTTTTTTTGCCTCAAAAAAAAGCTTTTAGCGTCTGGCCCAGTGGCATAGTGGGTAAGTTTGCACTATCTTCTTCGGCTGTCCAGGATTTGCAGGTTTGCATCCCGGGCATGGACCTAGCACCACTGGTAAGGCCATGCTGTGGCAGCATCCCACATAAAATAGAGGAAGATTGCCACAGGTGTTAGCTTGGTGACAATCTTCTTCTCACACACACACCAAAAAAAAAAAAAGGAAAAAAAGCTTTTAATATGAAAAGGAATGCGATTCTGTGAATGGACTGAAAAGTAGTCTTCAATACAAAGTGGATTGGGAGTATGTGTGGTCAATGAAGGTAAATGCATTGTCTGGGACCAGGGGAGCCCATGTGATCTTTGTGTTACACATTAAGGCGTGACAGGTGGTGAGGTAGAATGGAAAGCACAGGCTTTGGATGGA